TGGGGAATTCTGGGAGTTGAAGTCCGCTCATCTTAAAGTGGCCATGTTTGGACAACACTGTGCTAGCAGAAAGAGTAGAGCATAAACAAACCAACCAACCAAAGAAGATGTGATAAGAGGTGAAGCATCCCGGGAAGTGTCCCTTCTCAGTCATGGCACCTGCTCAATGGAAGAAAGCACCCCTGGAGATTCAAATGGTCCTCACCCTGCTGGTTCTTCCCCCAAGCGCTGAGCCAGCCTGTTGGGTGAGTCCATCTTGGCATTGTGGTGGTATCTTTTAAGTCACCCCAAGCATAATGTGTTGGTTTCTAAACTGTTGTTATTTCCAGTGTTCTTAATTGATTATTAAGCCACAACATATATAAGTTGTATATATCATGTGGGCAGGTGTATAAATAAATAACAATAAATATTAAGATATGGGTGTATTTGGAAAGCAAAAGGAAAAAGGAAAATGGAGAACCAGACATTCACACATACTTCTTCACACTTTCTTCATTAACTAAGTGTAGGACAACTACATTCCACCTATGAAAATTTCCCCAAAATTCTCTCCTCTCAAAAAATTTCCAACTTTTATTCCGTAAAAATGAATGAAAATTGACAAGAGAAAATGCAGGAGAATGTATCTGCTAGACAAAAACAAACTCTCTTTCTGGTGTTTGGACTATTGTCGTTAGAATGAAGTCACACTGGGGAATGCTAGTTAGTAATCTTTGACATAATTATTAGGGCAGACACTTAAGTATGGTTGGCACAAAGTTGATTGAAGAGGATAGCTGTTCTGAAAATACAAATGTTTGAACCATAAATGGAATACCTATAGAAGAGATATATTGACACAACTTTGTGTACCAAACCATTCTGAAGTACTTGCTTTTTTCTAGCAAAATACAAGATTATTGTTTGCAAACAGTAACTGGAATCACATCACTGGTAGTAAGTCGGACATCTCCAGGACCCCTTTCTCTATCATTCTCTGAACCATTTCAACTTTTTTTTCACTTAATAATGATTTAACATGCTGGTTGGGAATTCTGAAGATTTGAGACATGATGCATATAGAAGATGCCAGGCTGAGCAAGGCTGCGCAGTCTGAAGGAGCTATCCATGGTACTGACCCAGGAGAAAGAAAGACCAAAATTTTAGGATTGGTATCCCATTGAATTAAATCTATAGATTCACTCTGTAAATTTATAAATCTTTTTTTTTTAAACAATTAAGACTACATTACATATACATGTAGGAGTAAATTCTGATGGACCTAAAGTGATGAATTTCTGAATAGACATGTATACCATTGTACTGTAAATTCATTTTTATACAGCTGATATTTAAAAGAGAAGTGTACATTTGCTAGAATCACCCTTTAAAATGTCTGCCCCTACATAAAATATAGACATGCACAAATAATATATCTTGGAATAAAATACTTTCTAGTGTTGCATGATAAAATGTCTGAGCAAGAAATGTGATATTGGCTATTTCACATATTTCCTAAAAGGTCAGACAGCTACTCAGACCACAGCAGAAGCAATGTGGATAGGCAATTCAGTTTCTGTGCTGTGTTTATACTTCCTTAATATAGCACAGGCTTTTGCATTCCTCTTAAGGTCACTTCCCTTACTCTCTACAATATCTCACATAAGGCCTAAAATATCCCACATAAGATCCTCTTTCTGAATTGGAGAGACACAATGCCTACTGTAGGTTTCTGCCTTACCAGACCAGCAAAATACAACATTAGCTATGATTGTATTTTTTTTTCCAGATCCACCTATATAAAAGTTCTAAAAAGAATATATATATTGATTATATAACACATTCACTATTTAGGAGTGGTACTCATATCACACTAAGCCAAACATGGCTTACTGGTTCTCAGTTTAGTTTGTTGTTTGAAATTAGCATGTTATCATTTATTTTATAAACCATAGTTAAACAATCTATGGCTAGTTTTCAATACAAAGGAATTCAGTGTATAAGAACTGTATATATAGAGTGTACCAGTTTTTATCAGAGAATTGCTTCACAATGGAAAAAGTTGAAGGACAGTTGTAACCTCGAGTTTTGGAAGGGGAAATTAGATCAACCTGCAATAAGCTGTAAATCAAATGAATCCCTTTCCTTTGTTCCAATATGATGATACTTCAAGCTTTTTAATTTGATTGTTTATTTGTTAAATTTATACCCCATCTTTCTTTTAGGAGCTCAAGGCAACATACGTAGTGTTCCACCTCCTATTTTTGCCCACCCCAACAACCTTGTGAGGTAGATTGGGGTAAGAGAGAGTGACAGGCCAAAGTCACCCAGTGACCTTCTGTGGTTGAGGGTGGACTTGAACTTGGATCTCTTGGTGTCAGTCCAGCACCTTAACCACTACACCACACTGACTTAGAAAGCTATCTTTCTGAATAGCCATGATTAATGTAACATCACAATAAACTTAGGATTTTGCATAAACTGCTTTTCATACACTTATAAAATCAGAGGGTTAGGAAAAATTTGGGAGTCTTCTAGTCCACCCCTTGTCCACAGCAGGAATTCTCACACTTCATACCAGATTGATACTATAGGGTGGCCTTTCCCCACTTGGTGCCCAACAGAGGTTTTGGGATTACAGTTTCCAGAATTCCCAGCTAGTAGGATCCCATTCTTCACAGAACAGGAAAGGCTGCTATAATACATAAAGTGAATACCTGGTGGAAATTCCCAGGAAACTAAAAATAAAAAGAGCAAATATAATTCTAAAGCTTTGATGAAACCAGATCATAAGAATAACAAATGATTCTTCTTCCCAATTTCAGAAAGTACACTAGAGAGACATAAAAAGCAACTAAACTGATCAAGGAATCTTCCAAAAATAGGGAAAGTAAATGCATTTGGAAGTTCTGTATTTAGAAAAGAATTGAGACTGTGATTAGATGATGATTCATCTATTTAAAAGCCTCAGCTTGGACCCAAGAAACAAAATGCTTTCTCCCTTCTGTTTTAATACCGTTTAATACTGATTTTAATACTCAGACTCATCCAATTGTGGGACATTCCTGAGAAAACTCTGTATTAGAGGATGCTGTGATGGCCATTAACTTTGATGGCTTCAAAATTGGCTAGATAAATTCATGGATGTAGACTGTGTCAGTGAGTGTTTGCCTTTGAAGCTAAATGTTTTGCAACAGAAAGTTCCTTTGTTTAATGTTTTATTTTCCAACCCAATTTAGCTGAAATGGCCCAGAAAGTCCTTGCTTTCTCATGTCCACCTATAAAAAAGGCAGTGTGATGCTGTTAGGGGAGGGGAGGGAGATGTCACTGGTAATTGATTGGGATTTTTTGAGACAAAATACTGGTATGCTTTCTTGCTTTTATAATCATATGGTCCATGTTTGAATTCTATGAATGAAATCAGAGATATTCAGAGTGGCAAGTTTAAAGGAAAATGTTCAGCTGCCAGAAGGGATATTTTCACAGAAATGACATATTAGTGAATTCTCTGTGTGCATTGCAAACATGTGGAAGGCAGGAGGGCTAAGGGACAGGATAACAGTAGCCCAATCCATGCTTTTCTTATGCATGCAACTTGGTCAGCTGATAAACTAATATTCAATAAACTAATATTCAATCCTTTGCAAACACTGCTACTCTCTCGAGTTCTTTCCAAAACAGCTTGTCAGCTAAGAAACCTCTGAACATTGCAGACATTTCTGGGGCAGGTTCAACAATGTAGACTTTGAGGAAGAGAAGTTGGACTGATTCTGTTGAGGGGTCTTCTCATGCAGTGAAGCCTACAACTCTTTTAAGGAATGTGTTGCAGATGAGGGGATTGAAGACTGTAAAGATATGTTCAGAATTGCATGGAGGGACTTTCAGAAGCTATTGAGTTGACAGGGTGAAAGAGAATAAGGGGAAGAAGAAAGAAAATCTGGCAAGCGAATCCAACATTAGCCACTTTGCTGCCTTACAAGCTTAGAAAATGATACTCTTCCTTTTCACCACCTTACATACTGTACTCCCCTCCCCCCCCCAAATCTACCCTGTTTTCCCAATTTCCAACTCACATGTACCGGAGCTCTGACTCTCTCCGCACAAGAACTTCCCTGATTCTCTCAATTTTGAAAAGCTCTCCTTCAATGTCATCAATGGTAGCTGTGGAGTCAGCCATGGAAACTATTTCTTCCCCTGAAGAAAAAACAGAAAAGGAACTGTGTTAGTGAGGAGGAGAGAGGAAGGGCTAACATCAGCCAATGCCCTGAGTGACTAAGCTGGAGATTTCTGTTGACAGCACTTTGAACAATTATATTGGCATTGAACCCAATGGACCCCAATCAATCTGAGAGATTGTAAAATTTTTGTGAGATACCCAGGGTGCTTGTGTATAAGATGGGCAGCCATATAAGTATTTAAAATAATAAAATAATAAAACAAAACGAAACAATTCTTCCTTAGTACAGTAATTCCCAGCATCATTAGAACTGTCAATCCTAATTTTTCTCCTTTCCCCTTGATATTGATCTTCTCTCATCTTCAGGCCATGGTTTCCATAGCCTTATCCTCCATAGCTTCCCAGCTTATCCCTGTTTTCCTTCTTCCATCCAGAGGACCAGTCTTTAAAAAGCATTGCCCATTCCTGCAGGAAAGGAGGCTACACCGGACTTCCTACTGAGGCAGTTTCCCTCTGCTATTTAGAAGGTGGTGAGAGGGTTCCCCATGGGGCTAGTGGAGCCTGAACACAACATTCGTTACCTCCATCATCTTAGAATGGTCTAGCAATCCCAGTTTTCCCCTGTCCCTGTGACTGGCCGTGTCTGATTCCTGGCCTTGATTTATCCTGTTTTATCATGTTGTTTGGTGCATTGCAAAACACCCAACGGTTGCACAATAAAGAGGAGAATAAAGAGAGCCAGGAAGTCATTGCTATGCCAGCAGCTTTTTCTGTTGCCCCAGCAAGGGTTGGGTTCCTCTAAGGATCATTAGTGAGGAAAAGATGGCTGAAATACTTGGTCTATGTTGATCTCTCCCTGCCTGGATGTTTTGGACTTCAGCTCTTGGATTCTGAGTTAACGTGTTCAACCTCCTATCAGGATTTCAACTGGATGTAAAACAAAATGCTCAAATGGCAAATAACAGCTAAAGACATGGAACAGCACTGAAATACTAGGAGATCTATAGCATACTTTTCCTCCAATCTAGGAGCTGGAGGGATGTCAACCATAGCAAGCTCCAAGTTGTGTCTAGAGGGCACCTTTCTCTCTGATTTCATTCATAGAGTGACTCCTTCTCTTTCCTTCCTTCCATCCTCCCAACCTCTCTTAACAGAGGTCTTCAAGAATGTAACACAAGAATTCAGTATAATCTTACAGTCTCAACTCTTGCATCAAGATTGCAGTATATGTGCTTGCATTCACATTTAGTATTATTTCCCTGGGGAACCATTGAGATGAAACAAACATTATTGGAAACTGAGGGTGAGTGGAAAAAAGCCTTTTTATTGGGTCAAAGGAACAAAGAAGAGGCCCCTCTTTAAAGAAAATCCAGCAGGGAGGAACAATTATGACACGCCTGTCAGTTTCAAATTGCAGCAAAGAGGATGTCTTAATAATAAGGATGTTCTCTCACTGAAGTTTCCATCATTGGTTTTTAAATGCTAAGGTGCCCTTTGTATTCCTTAGGGAATGACTGTAGTTCAGAGAGAGAGTATATGCTTGGCATACACAAGAACGCAGGTTCAATTCCTGGCATCTCCAGAAAGGACAAAGAAGGACTCTGTATGTAAATAATTGCCAGCAAAACTGTGCAAGATGGACCAGTGGTCTGATCTAGAATCATCAGCTTCCTATGTTTCTGTGCTCCCCCACTCCTCACTTTGTCAGTATTGCTATTTATTGTTGTTAATTCTTCCTCTTGGAAATGATTCTGATAAAAGTTGGTGGTATGTGCATTTCAAATAAAATAAGTAGATTAATGAATCTAGCTGTACCAACAGGCTTTTGTAGGAAGACTGAAATAGTGGGCATGAGTTATAGATGATCCCCCAAACCAGCTTGCCTTGCTTTGTGTTCTGTATTCACTGGATCGGCTTTGCCAGATATGGCTTGCTTGGGGAGAGAAGCAAGCTTGCAACTGCATTATCTTCATACAAACATCTAAGGCCAGTAGCTCCATCCTCCTCTACCTCACCAAAGCTTGTTTGGCATGTACTAGCAGAGGCCAGTAACCAGATCAGCATTCCATTATTGGAGCCAAATCACCACCCAAGTGGGTCTGTGCTGGTGACTCAAGCCAGCAAAAAGGACAGACTTTGAGCTCAGTTCTGTTGTGTTTGGGAAGAGTTCCTCTGGGCAAGAGAGAGCAAAAGCTACAAACATCTGTCTTGTATGACTTTGGGGAAGAGCAATTGCTTCTAAGTGCCTAACATTATAGTTAACATGGAAGAGCTCTGTTTTGGGTGCCTCTGTCAAATATGAGCCCTACTACAAATTTCTACTTATCATTTTCAAATGCTGATTCTTTGATGCACCCTAGGAGATACCCAAACTTCTACAGAAACCAAGTCATCTCCAAGAATACCAACACTTGATCTGGACTGACTCAAGACTTTTAGCAGCATGAAGATGGAGCATCATGAAGATGGAGCAACATGAAGATGGAGAGATAGCATGCTGTGAACTCCTTGCATGTTCCAAAATTCCCACAGTCATTGCAGGAGATACTTGAGTGCACTCTCAGTTTGCATAGAAGAACAGGAAATGATTCAATACTTCTAGTTTGCATGCTGCTTTCAGAATGGTAAGAGAACATGGAGCTGGTTTACTTTGAGATGACCCAAACTCAGTGCCCTATCTATAGCAAGTGCTCAGTGCCACCATTTAAAATGGCAGGGCCTTCTTTGACACGCAGCTAAGTGAAACTGGCACTTTTGGTTAGCAGATTTCTGAAATGCATGTGCTTATGCCATTTTCCTATCTTAACTGTTTTTGTTTTATGTTTTATGGCATAAATTTAGTGAGGCAGAGGATGGATGGATGGATGGATGGATGGATGGATGGATGGATGGATGGATACTTCTCCTTTGGTTTAATAACATTTGCTATATACTTTAAAAGCACAATTCCTTATAACAGAAGAGGAGATGAATGGAAGCAGAGGGACAAGCAATGGGTCTGTTCTGTCATTAAGAAATGTGAAGTCTGGCACTGGCTGTTGTCAAAGTGATCTTATTGCTTTCCCATTCACAAAAATTAGGGGCTGGTACTGAGGGCATTTCACTGAACCAAGAAATCATAAATCCTTACCTGTAGCTCAAAGCCACAATTGGAAGCAGTGAATGAATTCTGTTAGAAAAACAGAGACTAGCTTCAGGCATCCCAGCTCCATCCATGAGGATGCTCCCTCTCTGGGAATCTCTGAATCATGTGTTTTTAACTTCCAAGGACAATCCATGGCCCTTCAATTATTCCAAGAGGCTGTTCCCTTGGGTGCTCAGCAAATAAACTCTATCTTAAGCCAGTTTCCTTTTGTGTGTGTGTGTGTGTGTGGGGGGGGGTGTAATAAATGAAGAGGGACCAAAGCTTTTGGTTCCCAGCCAGATATTCTTGATCATACTTGTTTTCCTGTCTGCCTGTCACTACTGAATGCAAAGTTACTCTGCCTCAACTGCCAAGGAAATAGACAAATGACCAAGAAGCCCCTCCATAACATCATCAGGAGTTGTGGAGGTGTGGGGAGTAGAGAGAGGAACAAGCCACCAATCTTCTCTCCACTGCTCTAAAACTTTCAAGGAATAGGAGACCATGCACAGCGAAATCATCTGTTAACACATGCATGCCCACATGTGTGCACATGTGCGTATGCATGCGCACACATACAAACATATATATATTCCTCCTGCAGATGTGCAGGGATTTGAGCCCTGTTGCTAGAGGTAAAGCTCACAGAATGGAGTTCGTCTTTTAGCAGTGCCCCAGGTGTGCAAAGTAAACTCACCTTTCCCTGAATCTGCTGCAGTCCACTTGGTTGACTCCAGGGATCCATACTGGGTGGATGCCTTGTTCTCCTTTTCCATCCTCACTCCTTGCTGTGGTTTTTAAAATCCCCCTTTCCCCCCTTTTTTAAATGGTCAGAATTCCTTAAGGAGGAGGACTTCTGAGGAGCGCAGGTTGCCCGGAAGCTCAGCCCAGCTTTTGGTCAAGAAACCATTCGGTGCAGAATCAAAAGGGCAGGGATCTCAGCTAAGCCAGGTCCCGGCTTAGCAGCTGCCGCCCGCTATGAGTTTCACAGGGAGATGGTCTTGTGCATCTGTCGAGCGATAAAGCAGAATCTGAGGCTGCAGAAGACTAGATGAGGGTCTATTATGACACTGAGAGGTGCCCTCTGGCGGTCACAAAGGTTCAACAACTCACTTGTCTCATTGTAAAGACTTTCAGAAAATCAAAACACCCGTATTTATTCGGCCAACTTTGCCCTGTCTTTCTGCCTTCAGCTACTGATTACTCAGCCATTTGTGCTGAAGAGTTCCTCCCCGCAGAATTGTGCTAAACAGTTGAAACCACTTGCCTAAGAAGCTCTTGGTTTCTAGGTAAATTCAGCTAATAGCCACACTGCAAGCCGAGCCCAAGCTCAGTTACAGATTGACTGCAAGACAGTTTCCCCAATATTAGGGCACAAAGTATTGAATAAGTCCATTTCTCCCCCAACCTTTCAAAGGGAGCAAAGAACAAAAATAATTAGTCTGTATAACACAAAATGTAAATCTACCTGCATTTGGAAGGCAACAGCTTTATTCTTCTTCCCTATACTTCTACTAGATACATAGCAGTTGCTGAGCCTCTCTTGAGCCTCTCTTGAGCTTTATGGCCTACTCCCAACAACCATTTTCAAGAATTTTTCATTGGGTTCAGCCTCTGGTGGACCCCTCCATACATTGCTGACGTCACAGATGCACCCCATTAGCTAGAAAGGATGTGAGCTAAAGTCCAACAAGAACAGAGAATTTTCCCCTCTCCATTCTTATAGAATCTTGGTGGAAAGTGAACAAAAGTCCCAGATTTCCACTATCTTTACTCTCTTGTGAGTAGAAAAATTAAAAGTTCAGTTTTCTGGGACTTGCAATGAGCTAGGCGCTATAAAAGAAGTTCAGGTTCTTTGTTTCTATATGGAAACCACTCTTGGACTTTTTACTGGATACACAAAAAAATGAAATTTTGATTTTGGGATTTGATGACTGATTTATTCTATAATTACAGAAATATCTTGTATTACTTTTCTTATATTTTTGCTGATATAGACTTACTTTGTAAAGTTCTTTTAATGTTAAATGATAGTTTTTATTATGTGATTTTTTTAGATACTGGAGTAAGAGGTGAATTTATTCTATACTCATATCTGTACCAGAGAAAGTCGGAAGTTACTTTTCTTCTTTTTGTTTTTGTTTTGTTTTTGTTTTTTGTTTTTTGTTTTTCTTTCCTTTCCTTTTGATCTTTTTGGATTTTACTGTTTTCTGAAATTTAATAAAAGTTTTTTTAAAAAGTTTAGGTTGATTGAAAGCTGTTAAGGATTTCTATTTTTCACCAAAGTCTGCAAGTTCCATCATTTAATATTTATCTGTGAATAACAACAACAACGACAACAATAAAATGTAACATTTATCTGTGAACTTATCTATCCCCCCCCCAAAGTCTCTGGGAGTTGGGTGGTACAAAAATAAATAAAAATAAAATACCCAGAATGTGTTTACTCATAACAGCATAAGACAACCCTGGACTAAAAAGAAACTTAGTCCAACAGTTTCTTCATCCCAGCAGGCCCATGGCTGGAAGTAGATGTGGAAATCCTCCTCATTTCTTCTCACCCTTAAAGATTTCTGGCTAAATGGAAAGGTCGAAGCTGTCTCAGACAAAGATACTGTCTCTGGTAGCTGCTGGGTAGACTCCAGATACACTCTCCACTTGTTTGCAAATGTGCATATTAGTCTTCTTTATGGTGGCTAAACACACACCAGGAGTAGATCTTTCCTCATTCTGTGGTGATTGGTTTCACCACGACTGGGACTTTAGTTCCTGGAGTACAGACTTTAAATAGTTACAGCCTTTAACTGTTGACTGTATGGGGCAGGGGGGAGGAAGAGGGGGGAAGAACTAGTTAAGGCACTAGAAGAAGTATTTTAATACAGATATACTAATTGTATGTTTTGGAAGCAAGGAGGTGGATGGAATTCTGATTTAATTTTGGTTTTGGTTTATTGGGTGGAGAAAAGGAAACAGGCAGCGGGGAACAGTAATATACTTCCAATTTTGTTTGGAAGTGTATTACTCTCTTTGTTGCTGTTTGTTTGCTGTGTGAGTCACTGAATCCACTCTAAAATTTTTATACATGCTCCTGAACAATGTAAAAAAAAAAGAGAGAGAACATTTAAGTATAGAACTTCTGCTGGGTCACTCCCTTATTCAAGACAGACCATCAGTGGTGCAGACTGTCATGCAGTTTGGATCTATATTTCTTGATTAGACTTTTGGTTGAAGCTGCATTAACAATTCCTAGTAATACTGCAACAGTTGAATACCATTTTCTCATTTAACTTCAGTTTATTATCAACAGAGATTGCCACTGATCCATACAAGTAAAACTGATTTGGGCCTTCTAAATTATAATAAAGGCTTTACTATGGCACTGAATTAGAATGAACATATTCAGATTTTTGCAGCATTGAAGTCCAGAAGACATTCTATTATCACCAGGCAATACGACAGTCGTTATTCAAGCTGCCAAATTTATCCAAAAAGCCACATATTGTGACCTGCCCCACTGCTTCCCTACAATAATCTTTGAACGCATTACAACTCAGTCTTCAACTGACTCATGAGTAAATTTTTAAGAAGTATTTATTTCTAAAATGTAGCTAATTTCCTTGGAAAAATTGATAACCTGTAGTAAGGATTATACTATGGTTTATCAATTTTTCCAAGGAAATTAGCTAAGTTAATTAGGGAATAATCCTATCATCATACATACTAGATAACAGGGCTGTTAACTGAGGTGCATTGATCTTGCTTTGGGTTATGTTTTACCTATTGTGTTAATTGGTACAGAGGAATTCAATGTAACGATGACTATCAATGAATATAAATTGCAGTTCAGCTGCAAAAATATAGGTTTAATGAAAGTTTGCAATGTTGAATTAAAACACACTTTTGACTGAGTAATATAGCTCCCACCCCCCATTCTTTGGCTACCATCCCCCAAGACTTTTGGGCTACCTCTTGGCCTGTGTTATATAAAGCCGATAAGCACCTGTTTTAGATTTCTCAGAAGTCACTTCTGGATTTCTAAAGCTGTTTTGCAGAATGGAATAGAGGAAAGATTTCTCTTGTCTTGAATGCTTTACTTAGTTAGAGAACAAGTTGTCTAGACAGCTCATCGACCCTTTTGTGTTTATGAAGGAGTGGGCTACATAGAATTGTCGTGGAACTTTTGTAAAGACAGGAGCACAACGCTGAGGAGAAGAACCATGTTTATTGCAATGATCATTGAGTGCCTGCTTTCAAGAAAGAGGGACCCTGAACAATGGAAAAGCATAGATTTTATACACTTTTGAGGTTGAGAGGCAGGAAATCTGAGGGATCAGATTCGAGGATAGGTTTGGATAGGTGTTAAATGGGGAATAAATGGTTTTTCTATTGTGAGATAAGAACCACAGCAAACCCTTAAACAGACAGGTGATGGCCCTCCCATTGTTTCAGTATGAACATGGTCATTCTTGGGTCATGCAATAGCTTGGAGCTAATCCAGTTTTGCATGAGCGAAGAATGGCAGAAGGAAGTGCAGAAAAGAGATTGCAGGAGAGGCAAGGGGGGCAGGGGGGCGAGTTTCCAGCTTTATTTTATTATGTTTCCATCACAATACTCTTGTGAAATGAAACTTGTGAAAATTTCAAATTCCAAATGTGCCTTTAGGCCAAAGGAGTTTGAGTGCCAGTTGAGGCCTTACAGCAAATTGAATGAAAGATGCAGTGTAGCAGAGAAACTGTTGACATACCCGGAGTAGTCTTGATTGTCACAACCAATTGTCCAACCAATTCAAGCATATATTAAATTCACCTTGGGGTATTTAAGAGTATTTCTATATATTTTGTATATTGTTTGTAGAGTCCTTGAGGTTCTCTGAGCTTGGTTGTTTTCTTGCAGTTGTTTCATTACCCAACTAGGTAACATCTTCAGGGCTAAAATGGGATGGGGTTTGCTCTCTGTTTACAGTAGCTTGCCCTGTCAGTGTTGGAGGGGGTGTTGTTTTTTTCTTGGTAGTTGCCAGGTTGTTGTTTACTGTTTGTTTGTCTGAGTTGGTAGTTCCTTGATTAGGGTATTGTTTACTGCTTGATTGTTTGTCTGGTGTTAATCCTGGTGTTAATCCCTGCTTATCTGGGTGTTGATTGCTGGCAAGGAGGTGTTTCTGGTCTTTTTGTTTCCTTTTTATTGTCTCTTTGCCTGACCACTGAACCTACTACAACACAAGCAACACAAGCTAGGAAAAGGATAACATGCCATACTTCAGAAACATCTCAGAAACAACCAACAGACTATTACAACCACATGGCATCACCATAGCACACAAACC